TAAAGAATAACAAAAAATTAGTTTCTTAGCCCGTAAGTTAAAGAATGAAAGGCTATTCTTAAAATGTTTGAGACCACAGGAAAGTACAATAAGTAATTAGCTTGATTTATTACAAACAACTGTAAGTCAATATGACTATATAGATTTTTTTTCTTTTTTACAAAATTGTAAAATAAGTAACATTAGTGGTAGGTCTCACAGATTTAGAGTTTCATTATTCATATAATTTCTACTGTCTTGCACTCAAATTATTTTAAATAGGAAGACAATAGACTTTGAAAGAAAATAATATAAAAGTATGTCACAGCTGATATTTTCAAAAAATTAATGATAAATAACAGTGCATGATTTGATTAGAGTCAAGTGGCAATGTGGTTAAAGAGATCTTATTCACAGTGAACAGAGAGAAAAATAATAACTATTCCTTACAAATAAATTTAAAATAGGAGATGCTGCAAACATCAAGAAGCATCAAAAATGTAACATATTTTATATGTATTAATAGATGAGTAAAATATGGGATTTTGCAGTTAAACATAAGAATGTTTGAAGATACTTAAATTCACACACTTTAATCAGGATAGGACTTATACTTGTTATTTGATATATATCTAATTTTAATCAAACCCACTTAGACTTCTGCATCATCAATTGATTATTTTAATTTATCCATATATATTTCAAATCACCGCATCTTTCCCCCCTTTCCTGAAAGACAGAAGAGAGATGGAGGTAGCAAAGAAGGAAAGAGAGTAAGAGAGGGAATAAAATTCTAAATTTGGAATAAACTTTTCTAGAAATATTAATGGCAGTTTTTAAATCTTTCCAACATTTTCTGTTTTTTTTTTTTTTAAACAACATGAAAAATGTAAATTTCAGTTCAGCTAACTCCTAGTAAATCATTGCTTAATGAAAACAAGCACCCCAGAAAGTAGTATTTTACGTTTGTTCTTAGTACATCCCTGCAGGAATTAAGAGACATCAGATTTATCAAAGTCACAACTCCTTTAGAGTTTCCAGGAGAACAGCAGATCAAAGAAAAGAAATAGATAAGATAAGGAATTACAACTTACTTGCAATAGGAGTTTCCCATTTGTTTCACTTCTTACTATCATTTTAGAACAAGTTAAAAGTTGCTTGTTAGGAATCTTTACCTGACACTAATGGAACCTCTTCTGACAGATTTTTTTTGTTGTTGAAAAATTATATGATATGAATTGGAAAAAAGATCTGTCAAGTTTGATCAATTATTATGTATCTGCAGGTGCTTACTTGGCTCATATAATCTTCCCAAAGATAGTTGAAAAAACTCATTTGTGCCAGATGATGTTCTGTATTATCTGAGAAGACACATATTTTCATTCCATCAAACAAGTATGTAATCATATATGTAACTACTGAGTTAAACAGGACTCCATGTGTAAAGCAGATTTTTTTTTGTCCAGCATGATGGTTCCATTGAGGTCTGGTCACTTTGATGTAGAAATAAATGAAGTACTAAAACTTTCATTCTATAAGTAAACTATTTAATAATGTTATCTGTAACTTTTTAAACAGTATTTTTATTTGAGCAATATATTATTTATTAGAAAATTTAGTTTGTTATAGAATTTACCAATATTCTAGTACTATATAGTATATTTGTTAAAAGTTATAATCATGGTATATTTTGCATCTCCACCTCCCTCCCATAACTTTCACAATCTCTGAGAAGACCCAAGTGATCTAATATGGCTGTCCACACTGGTTGGGGTTCTTCTATTTCTTTTATATTAAGAGCCTCAGGCTCAAGTTAGTAATCACCACTCCGCCTCTACTCTATTTCTACAGTAGTGTACCCTCTACTCTGGATGCCAATTTTACATTGTAGTGTTTGGTCTCCAAAGTCCTTGATGTGGGTATATGCCCCTGAGTCAACAACTTGTGTTGGGGGGTAGGGGAAAGGCGGCAAACAAAATTCAGTTGCAGTTTTTTTCTGCCACTTTCCCCTCAGCCATTGCTTCTGATGGATGCTGGAGTTATCTGTTCATCTTTCAGGGTTATTGATTTAATTGTGCATATATGGAGGAAGTAAGCCTGGAGTCTCCACTCTACCAACATTTTGCCATACTTGCCAGTGACCAAAAGGAACCCAGAACTTCCAAATGGTTCCTGAATCTCACTACTCGAATCCTCATGCTTGAATCCTCTCTGTCTCTTGATAACCTATTACTGTGCTTTTTAGAAGGCACCAACAATGGCCCTTTACCTTTACCCACATTTATGTAGTTCCCTCATATCTCTAAAGCCTAGATTTCCCCTGGTTATTCTGCTTCTTATGGCAGATATTGTAAGATGTTTATTGCCCTACCATTTAAATCACAGGGGCTAGAACTATGTTCTTTTTGCTTCCAGAGCAGTCTGCTTTTTCCTCCCTAAACAATCTAGCTATGTGGCATGTCAAAATATGTATACTTCCTGCTACTCCTCATTATAGAAGTCTCTCCAATTTCTGATCAACACCTTTTTTTTTAAGATTTATTTATTTTTTAAATACAAGAACTGGGGTGCAGGCCAGAGGTGCAGGGGGTTGAGAGGATTCACCAGAGACAGAGCGGAGAACAGAACAGCAAACTGGCTGAAATACACTGCTGAGGGGAGCAGCAGGCGAGACAGGAGATGTCTGCTGTTCCATGTGGGAATCTCCCTGGCTGGCTGGGAATTGAACCCACGCTGCAAAAGCTGTGGACAGCTTCACAGCGCTGCACTCAACCCACTGCGCCACTGGGGAGACCCAGTCACCAACTTTCTTTAATCAGGTTTAGATTGTTGTCACTCTCCCAAACTCCATTGTTTTCATGTAGTTAATTTCAATATCCACGTAGATGAGTCCTTAAAAACACTAGTCTCTCAGTTACTTGACTCCTCGCCCTCAAAGATCTTATTCTGCACTTTAATATTGCTGGTAAATAGTTTCACCATCTTGTTATTATTATCTTGTAATTATAATGCATTTATTACATTAAATATTATTATAGGAATATTTAACATGGTATTGACATTTGTGTTTCAATGTTTACATATATTTTTGGACAAGTAATTGCCTATTTACTTACACATTTAACATAAATTGTGTGCTTAAATCCATTCTTGAAGTTTTCTTTAATTCAGCCATGTTAAGGGATCCAACAAAAATATGTTGTATAACACTAATGATAAAGGACTGATAACAAAAATCTGCAAAGAGCTGATGAGACTCAACAACAACAAAGAAAATAATCCTGTCAAAAAATGGGCAGAAGAGCTAAAAAGAAACTTCTCTGAAGAGGAAATGCAAATGGCCAACAGGCATATGAAAAAATGTTCAACATCACTTGTAATCAGGGAAATGCAAATCAAAACTACAATGAGATGCCATCTCACACCAGTGAGAATGGCACATATTAAAAAAACTAGCAACAACAAATGTTGGCGAGGATGTGGAGAAAAAGGAACCCTCCTGCACTGTTGGTGGGAGTGCAAACTGGTCCAACCACTATGGAGAGCTGTGTGGAGATTTCTGGACCTACTAAACATAGAGCTACCATATGATCCAGCAATTCCACTCCTAGGTATTTACCCAAAGGACACAGAAACATCAATTCCAAAGAGCACCTGCACCCCTATGTTTATAGCAGCACTGTTTACAACAGCTAAGCTTTGGAAACAACCCAAATGCCCAAAAATAGATGACTGGATCAAGAAGATGTGGTACATATACACCATGGAATATTACTCAACATTCAAAAAAGATAAACACATGCAATTTGCAGCAACGTGGATGGTGCTGGAAGGGATCATGCTCAGCGAAATAAGCCAGAAAGAAAAAGAAAAATACCGGATGGTCTCACTCATAGCAGGAATCTAGAAAACTTAAATAAGGGACCAGGAAAATGAATAACTATAAGAAAGTGAAAATCAAAATCAACAAAAAGCTATGAACCAGAGACTCTCTATGGAGGCTGGGGGGCGGGGAAAGGAGGGATTGGGGTCAAAATAAGGGGGTTGCAATTGTATGGGGAATATAAAAATAAAATTTATTTAAAAAATATGTTGTATAAATGCACATAGGATAATATGCTCTATATTTCTCAAATTATAGTAACAGAAATATTTTATATTTATCTAAAATGTACAGTAAAAGACAGGATTGCAAATAACAGAAAAATTGTGCTACCTCTGACTATTGCTATAGTGTTTATTGACTTAAATCAGATTAATATCATTTAATAAATTAATAGTTAAGTAATGAGTCTGCATTGTGTTATTCCTTTGTTTTCACCAAATTATATATTTTTCACAAATGAGATAACATTGTCATTGGCCCAAAATTAATGTGTCTTATTTTGTTTTCTAAATTATTTTTTTTCTAATCTGAAATAGTTTGTAGCTAATGTTACAAAGTACCTTTTTTAGTAAAGTTAAATTTTTGAAAGCATGTTTTTAATTTCATGCTTGAAAAGATCCAGTTACTTAAACTTTCTGTTTACTTTTCATACTGGTATATTTTATTTATTCGGAAAAAATAAAAAGCTTTTGTTAAAGTGAAATCCTGTTACCTGCTAGCAGTACCATAAAATTACTGCTTAGCTAGGTTGTCAGTGTGAGCCTTTCATCTACAGTGAAAAATGTTAATGACATCATAGCATTATGTGCAAATCAATAGAGCTTGTAAGTGTTTCAACTGATTCTCAAATAAATCAGTGATTCTTTTGCAGAGTCAGAACCCAAATAATGAATTAATTCCAAGAACCTCAAATCCAATTAGTGCTTACAAAATATAATTTGTTTGCTGGACTCAGAGAGAAATGCTTGCTGAAACTGGTTTTTGACCCCCATGATACCTTTTCATTTCTGCGTTATATTTCCCTATGCAAGATATTTAAAGAAGTTTGTACTGACTTAAGTTAGTGGGTAACCTACTACATAATCACTAATTGTTTTAAATTGAAATTTAAGAATGAATGTGTTTATTTTTGCAGGGTGCTTTAAATGTAGCTGCTTAAAATAACCCATTGGACCAAACAGATGTACCTCAAGAATTAAGACACTTTCCTGGAAAGAGGTAAGAAATTTTAAAATATTTGCATGATGATAATAAGTTTTGGAGAAAATGTAGATATAGTAGTATACTTCCTTGGCACATAATTTAGAAGATTATTTTTGTTTAAAGACCCAAACCATAATTTAATAGAAATTTTGCTTGTAGTTTTAACAGTCTCATTATGAAGGTGAAATCCAGTGCCCCACCCAGATGTCCCAGTTATGTGAGCAGGGGAAAAGGAAGGTGGTGTTGAGTGGGGTTTCAGAACTCAGGAGACCCATTGTTGCTCAGAGCTTGAGGGCAAGAAAAGCCACCTTCACCCTCTTCTCCTGTTCCTCTCATCTGGATAGGACAATAAATGAATTTCAGGGAGGTCATTTTTAATTATTAAGCTCCTTTCTATTTTTAATTATATGGTCTTTTAATATGTGGAATGATTTGCATATGTGAGAGGATCACAACATTAAAAAATACCATATTGTAGGAAATCCACAATGCCTTATCAAAATATTAAGATCTAGATTTTTTTCTTTTAATATTCACACTTACTATTAGACTAAGTTTGCCATGTACCCTAATAATCACAGCACAGGTAACTAGTGTGTGGTCAGTTGCCTTCCAGAAAGATCCTTTGGCTAGCCTGCCCATCTTTCCTGGATCACATATGGTTACTGTCGACTAGAATCCACTCAAAGGTTTGAGTGCCAAGCACAGAAGAGTCAATTTTTAATGTTATATTATCTTAATTTTGACCTAAGATATGAGACTGAAATATTACCCTTAGAATTAAATACTGTAATAAAAAGGGATGTATACATATTATATTTTTTAACCATTGCTTACTATAATTGTTGTTGAGATTCATTTTATGATATAAAGTAGGAAGAAAATTCAGCAACATTAGACTTACCAGTTGACCTTCTATTATTACTATTAGAAGGAATTACTATTGGAAGGGATGAGGAAAGGAATTTAAACATACACTTAGCCATCTGTGAGTTGTGTATTTGTCTAGTAAGGAAAAAAATCTGAATTGAAATGTTTTTTCCTTATAGTTCTCTGAGTAGAATAAAATTCATTCATCAATTGTATTTCAATTTTTATTTAGCAAAACCAATTTAACTGGGTTTCTTTGGATTTGTAGATGTATATTTCTATTTAACAAATGTTTTTTACCTCTGGAGATTTCATATTTAGCATCAAGAAAAATAATTTTTATGAAAATTATATTATAATTGCAATATGGAAATGCTTAAGTAAGAAGTGCATTAAAATTGTTAGAGTTAACACCATCAATGTGATTTTTATAGGCGCTATATCTCACATTTTCAGTATTGATAGGACAATATACTTGAAAATAAGACTTTGTACTGCCAGTTCTCTGATACATACATATATGTTCATAAATATTCATTATTGAGCTATATTAATATTTTGCCTTGCACAATACTGATTTCCTAGATGCTTTTTTTTTACTAATGCATAATGTACACAAAGATAAATGATTGCTTTCTTTTTTAACAAATTAAGAACTTTTTGAATTTCCAATTACATTTGCCCTATCAAGCATCAGTAAAAGAAGAAATGTTTACAAGGTGAATTCCTGCATACCAACTAAAATCTATTCCAAAGATATGAAAAGCAAAGGCATACATAGACTTAGCTTTTGATATTACTTCATCATTGCATTTTAATATATATTAGAGGATCAAGCTAGTTTCTCAAAATTAATTTGTAAAAAATATCAACAATCCATATGGATGAGTCCATTGAACACAATTAATGTTGTATACATTAGATTAAAATGGAATCTTGGGTAGTAGTCAACTAATGAATATTTATAAAAGTCAAAGTAACAAATTTGACTACTTCTGGATATTGTATCATCATAGAACTATCTAAAGAATTGAATTTTATGATTACATACTTTGAGTAATAGAAATCAAACTAAGGTAGATAAATATCACTCGTTTGGAAAATATAGTCTGGTCATTCCAAATTGGGAGTATTGAGATCTACTTTTATAAATGTCCATTTCAATGACATGTTTACCCTTACCTTCCCCTCCCTTTTTTGACAGATATAATATGAAGTAGTTTTATTGACATATAAAATGTATTATGAAAAATTAATATAATTTTTAAAAGTAGATAAACAATGTTTTGCTTGTCCTGCTAATTCTATTATTTAATTGTATATTTGCTTAGGAAATGACAATGTAGCAACATCCATGACACACTTTTTTGCTCTTCTGAATCAGAGAGCACTTCTGCAATTATTGACTATTCTTTAGACATCAGTCCATATATGGTTGATTCTAAACAAATTCTAGATTAAATATAATCAAATACCTCACTAGTAACCACATGACAAAGATTTTAAGTATTAGTCAAAAAAAGCTCATAGGCATCAAAAGTTAAGGAAACTATATACTGATTATGGAAGAGAGGAAAGTAAGATAAAATTCCACAGTATATTAAAATACATATGGATGAGAATGAAAAAGAAAATAAAAATCAGAATGCTAAGAAGATCAAAAATAGTATACATTATTTGTTATTCCATTCAAAGTTCATGTTTATATAACTATTGAATAGTTTTGGTCTATTTTGTAGGGAGAATTGAATTATATGCCAGACTCACATAGTTCTAGATTTCAAACCTTTATTGTTCTATGACCTTGAGAAAGTTACTTTGCCCTTATTTAATTTTCTCACTTATACATTGCAAATAGCAATACCTAATATTACTAGCTTATAGCTTCTATATTTTTAATATTTTTAAAGTAATTTCAAAATTATAATGTACTTTATTCTTTGCATACTTTCAAACTCTTTGATATTTATTTTATTTCTCAAAAGCATTTACTTTTCTCGTGATTGTTTGTCTTATTTATTCTAGTTTGTAAACTTTTTATGGTGAAATTATTTTCATCTATATGCTTTGCCCCCATTGAGCAGTTTAAGCGACAGACAATATTTATTTAGTGAGTGATTGAAAGAAAAATTAAACACTCTTTACTTAGATATGTTTTTGATTAATTGAGTTAAAACACGTAAAGTTCTCTAAAAGGGTGTCCTTATTCAAGAGATAAATAACTTTTCTTTCCATATGAAAATCTTTTTGAATTAATATGTTCACTTATTATTTGGTCTATTTTTTAAATAGGTTCTCTAAGTTTATAGTGTATTAACATTTAAATTTGTTTTGCAAGCACTGCTAAGATTTTCAAGGAACTAAAGTACTTTTCCCTAATCAGGGAATTTCTTAGATACTTTTAAAGAATATGAGACATTTGGATTATTTAGTTATGCTAAAAACAGTTTAGTAACAATAAACCTTAGAGTCCTGGGCAACTAGCAGACTCACCTCATCGCCTTGGCTCAGATATTATTGCCCACAGAATCAGATGGACAGTATGGAGGCATGACATTTCTTCTGAAAGAATATAGCACATGCTTCTCCTCTGCAACTGATGTGGGTTGGAATGGAAATACCATGATTAGAAGGGACTTTTACTTAAACCTTCAAAAAATGTCATTGCCTGCGTGTTAGCACAAATTCTACCTGAAGTTCCGACTGAATAGTTTATTTCTTTATTTTTCTAGCTAATAATTCCTTCTTTGTTCAAACCATTTTTCTTTGATAATTTATGATAAATGCTTTTAGGTTTGTCTTAGCCAGAAGTGACTTAAGAGATCATTTCCTCATTTACATAAGGAGATAAGTCCAGGGTTAATTTAAGACATAGAACAAGAACACAAACTCTAAAATCTAATTCTAGAGTGATATCACAATATTTTTCTCCCAAGATATTCCTTTTGTTAGACTTTCTTCCACATTCATTTTAGAAATATCTGTTGACAATTTTCATTGCTTATCAATATTGTCTTCAAATGCAATATTATGTTTGTATGGGCAAAATAGAGGTAACAACTTTTCTTCCACAAAGAAATCCTATCAATGAAAAAAATAATTAAGCAAGAAAGGTAGGGTAATAAAAGAAACAAATACATAGTGCACTTTTTCAGGGAACAATCCTGTTTAGGTTGTAACTTTTATGGCTGGCTAAATATTTATTGATCTATGTACAAGAGACAAATATTGCAGAATTTTTATCTTTGTTAAATTTCTTGAGATGTCTATAATCTTTGGGTGAAGTCTCTAAATACATTTACTTTTTCCTTACTGACTTTATTGAGGAATGATTTAGTTGATACAAACTGCAACTTTTTTAAAGGACTCAATTCTCTAGGTTTGGGCAGTGGATGTATACAAATGAAACAGCTATTACAGCAAGATACAGAATATTCCATCACCCAAGAGTACTTATGACCTTTTACTTTTTTATGCTGCCTATTAGTTTTCATTTTATATAAATGGCATTATGCCATATATGTATTTTGTGATATTTTTTCACATATTTACTTAGAGATTTATTTATGTAATTATGTTAGTTCTTTCCTTTTTGTTAACTTGTAGTATTCCATTGAATAGATATATTACATTTCTTCATTCACTTGTTGACATTTAGCTGTTTCTTTTAATTTTTGTGAATTAATGTTCTATGATAATTTTGTAAAAGTGTTTGGATATATGGATTGAAAATCAGGGTCATTTGGCAGTACATGTTTAACTTTGCAAGAAACAACAGTTTTCCAAAGTGGTCTGTACCATTTGACATTTATTAATCAGTGCATTGATTGTTCCTGTTGCTCTGCATCAGGGTTATGAAAGCTATAGCTCCTGAACCAAATGCAACTTTATTTGTAAACAAATTGTACTGGAATGAAGCCACATTTCCTTATCTTTTCATGAGCTGCTTTTATGCCACAAAAGCAAGGTTTCATGGGAACTGATATCTAAACCAATGGTTAATCAGTCTTCCCTCTTTTTTGGCCATAATTTTAGGAACATATTATAATTTACTGGCTTTATTACCACAGGGAGAGAATAAAATTTGCATCTGTCCATTTTACTACTAAATTTTGCTAAGAAGTTGGAAAGAGGAGCAATTAGAA